ATCTCTTTTAAGGGTCTGAGCAGGTGGTGGAGTGGGTTAAGGCGTACCTGTTATGCCAGTTGCTGGAAGGCTTCTGTGCTGGCTAGGGTTCGAGTCTCCTGGTGGGAAAGTGTTCTAAAGTTGTATACTTCACTCTCGTGTTTAGGAGAGTTGTGCCTTAAGCATAGACACAGTGTTCTCCCATATTAACAGGGACTTGATGAAAAAAAGTAAAAATGACCCCTCACTTGCTCTAGTGCTCTTGGGAGGTGGTAGTCTTTGGAGTGTATAAATACTCCGAAATTACCATCTCTTTTAAGGGTCTGAGCAGGTGGTGGAGTGGGTTAAGGCGTACCTGTTATGCCAGTTGCTGGAAGGCTTCTGTGCTGGCTAGGGTTCGAGTCTCCTGGTGGGAAAGTGTTCTAAAGTTGTATACTTCACTCTCGTGTTTAGGAGAGTTGTGCCTTAAGCATAGACACAGTGTTCTCCCATATTAACAGGGACTTGAGGAAAAAAGTAAAAATGACCCCTCACTTGCTCTAGTGCTCTTGGGAGGTGGTAGTCTTTGGAGTGTATAAATACTCCGAAATTACCATCTCTTTTAAGGGTCTGAGCAGGTGGTGGAGTGGGTTAAGGCGTACCTGTTATGCCAGTTGCTGGAAGGCTTCTGTGCTGGCTAGGGTTCGAGTCTCCTGGTGGGAAAGTGTTCTAAAGTTGTATATATATATATATATATATATATATATATATATATATATATATATATATATATATATATATATATATATATATATATATGTCGTACCTAGTAGCCAGAACGCACTTCTCAGCCTACTATGCAAGGCTCAATTTGCCTAATAAGCCAACTTTTCCTGAATTAATTGTTTTTCGACTACCTAACCTACCTAACCTAAACTAACCTAACTTTTTCGGCTACCTAACCAAACCTAACCTATAAAGATAGGTTAGGTTAGGTTAGGTAGGGTTGGTTAGGTATGGTCATATATCTACGTTAATTTTAACTCCAATTAAAAAAAATTGACCTCATACATAATGAAATGGGTAGCTTTATCATTTCATAAGAAAAAAATTAGAGAAGATAAATTAATTCAGGAAAACTTGGCTTATTAGGCAAATCGGGCCTTGCATAGTAGGCTGAGAAGTGCGTTCTGGCTATTAGGTACGACATATATATATATATATCAGTCGTGTTTTTAAATATAAAATTTCCATTTTAACGTCATATCTTAAGTGATTAGCGAAGCTGAAGATCACGTGATTGGTATACCATCCTTGCTATCTATGTAAATAATAATGGAAATGTTTGTTTATTCAAAATCACTAATCTTCGAAAGTTCTTCACTGATTGCTTTGAAATTTTCACACAACATTCCATTCGCAGCCGAGCGGGTTTTTATATTCATACTATATGGGTGTCACGTCGGTGAGGGAAAAAAAACATGTGTTTTTTTTAAAGCTGTGTTTTCCGTGTTTTTCATGTGAGGGAAATCTGAGAAACCTCTTTACCGATTGCTTTCAAATTTTGACACAACATTGCATTCGAATTGTCGAGTGTTTTTTTTTTATACCTACTATATACATACTTCACCTGTGACAGGAAAAAGATACTTTTTTTGAAAAACAGTGCCATCTGTAGGACGTAAGAGCAACACATGCTGTAATCTCCAAAAGTTCTTCACTGATTGCTTTGATATTTTGACACAAGGTTCCATTCGAATACCTGCATATTTTTATATACCTACTATTTAGATGCCACACCTGTGACATGTAAAAACGGGCATTTTTTGAAAAACAGCGCCCTCTGTTGTACGTAAGAACAACACACGATCTACAAAATATGTTACATTTCCATTTCAATGCTTCCGATTGCAATGATAAATTTAATTTTCATAGATTTCGATTTATTTTCAATTTGATTTAATTACTTGCGTTGGAATTGAGCTGTGTTGTTTACCATACCGTTCATTTCTTGGGTTTAGCTTATTTGTTTCATTTTTCATTGCTTTTTTTATTTTTCTTAAGTTTTCTTCTTATTTTTCAGTGCAATTGGTGGTGAAATTGATCTGTGTCGATTGATCTGCGTTTAAATTGAAATATTTCGTTAGTATTTTTTTATTTTTGTTTTGAAAACAAGAAAATGGACAACACATTTATTTCACAGCTGCAGATGTGCAGCAAACAACTATGAATCCACCGGCTACAACGTTAACTGCTTTCTTCACGTTATGTCAAAATGACGCGTTTTCGAAAACACTGCTGTATTCGGAAGTGCCTACGTATTACACATGGAATGCCAGTAGAAAATAATTTGAACGACTCAAACAAAGAGAGCGAATCGACGGACAACCTGGCATATTCAGATAAACTACGATAGGCAGACTGTATACCGTGCATTCCAATCATGATGAATGCTTCTTTCTTCGCAAGCTGTTGGTAAATGTGCCCGGTCCAACGTCTTTCCAGCCATTGAGGTTTGTCAACGGCGTAACACAAGCTATTTCCCATAGTGCATGTCAAGCTCTGAATTTATTGGAGAACGAACAACAATGGGATGTATGCATTAGTGACGTGTCCAACACGTCACATCCAAATCAAATTCGTGCATTGTTTGGTATCATATTGACCTCCTGCTCTCCTTTATCTCCAGCAGAGTTATAGGAGAAATATAAATCGCATATGGCTGAAGATATTATCCGTCGAATACGCAAGGAAGATTCACATGCAAACATGGATTTCACAGCAAAAATATACAACGAAACATTGATAATGATTGAGATTTGTACTTAGAAATCGCGAACGAAATTCTAAATCAATTGGGAATGCCATCACCGAATCGATCTGCTGCTGCTTCGTTCGAAGCAGAATTGCGTCGTGAACAAAATTACAACACGGGTGATCTGTTGTCGTATGTGCAATCAAATATTCCTAAGCTAACGCTTGAGCGAAAAAGCATCTACAATCAAATAATTCAAACTGTCAATAAAGGGATTGGAGAAATCTTCTTAGTTGCGCCAGGAGGAACTGTAAAACATTCCTAATTAGACTGATTCTGGCAGCATTTCGATCCCAAAATGGCATAACCTTAGCTCTGGCATCGTCCGGATTAGCTGCGACATTGCTACCAGGTGGAAGAACTGCTACTTCGGCTTTGAGATTGCCATTGAACATTCAATTAATTGAAACTCCCACGTGCAACATTTCCAGAGCATCTGGCATGGGAAAAGTATTGCAGAAAAGTAAACTTATTGTTTGGGATGAATGCACAACGACCCACAAAAAATCGCTCGAGGCTCTTTATCGATCATTGCAAGATTTGCGTGGAAACATCAGGTCATTTGGGAATGCATTAATATTACTTGCAGGAGATTTCAGGGAAACAGCACCTGAAATTCCTGGATCGACACCAGCGGACGAAATAAATGTTTCCCTGAAATACTCCACTTTGTGGCGCCATGTAAAAACGTTAAAATTAACTTCAAATATGCATGTCTAGCTGCAAAACGATCCATCAGCTGAGATATTCTTACATCAATTTCTGGAAATTGGGAACGGAAACGTGCCGGTTGATCTAACCTCAGGACGAATTTCATTACCACATAACTTCAACAATATAGTGACGTCAAAAGAGAATTGGTTTAAAAAGTATTTCCCATTATTCAAACCAATTATATGAATCACGATTCGCTGAATGAACGAACTTTTCTTGCGGCCAAGAACAAAGTCGTCTACGAACTTAACAACAAGAACTTCAGTCTAACATCCAAAGCAAGGCAGACACATATAAGTCCGTCAACACTGTTGAGGAAGCATATGAAGCGGTTAATTATCCAACACAATTTTTGAAGTCACTCTGCCGGGGATACCATCTCACGTACGGCAATGGAAAATCGGCGTGCCAATTATCATGTTGCGAATTATCAACTAGCCAAAACTTTGCAACGCCACGCCCCTTGCTGTAAAAAAAATAATCAGCAACGTCATAGAAGCAACAATCTTGACAGGACCTTACAGAGGTGAAGATGTCCTCATTCCTTGCATTCCTATGATTCCAACAATTATGCCATTTCAGTTAAGGAGATTGAAATTTAAAATTCCATTGGCGTTTGCAGTCACCATAAACAAAGCTCTGGGCCAATCTTTAGAATCGTGCAGTTTATACCTAGACACGGATTGCTTCTCACATGGACAATTAGATGTTGCGTGTTCTAGAGTCAGCAAACCAGACAATCTATATCTCCACGGACAATGGAACAACAAAAAATATTGTATACCCACAGGCAATGTAAAATTAAAAGTATTAGGAACGTACGCTTTCTCTTTTCTTTTCCATTTAACCAAACTGAGTCACTGTAACGCACGGCAGGTACATCTAGTTATAAATAATTGCAATCAGTCCCATTCTATTTATCTATGAAATTAGATTATACATATTAACATATCTATGCAACAACGATCATGGAAGCACTTACACAAGTTTGGAGAACTACTACTTTGAAAATTATAAGAACGCTTAACGTGTTTTCATTCGTGTGGCCTTCATCTGAGTAGCCTTCATCCGTGTGTCCTTCATCGGTGTAGCCTTCATCCGTTTGGCCTACATCCGTTTGGCATTCATTCGTGTGAACTTCATCCGTGTGGCCTTCATCCGTGTGGCTATCGTCTTTTTAGCCTTCATCTTTGTAGCCATCATCCTTGTGGCCTTCATCAGTGTGGCCTTAATCCGTATGACCTTCATCGGTGCAGCCTTCATACGTGTGGCTTTCATCCATGTGGCCTTCATCCGTGTGACTTTTATCCGTGTTGACTTTATCCTTGTAGCCTTCATCCGTGTGGCCTTCATTCATTTTGCCTTTATCTGTGTGTCCTTAATATGAGTGGCCTTCATCCGTAAGGCCTCCATCTGTGTGCTCTTAATGCATGTGGCCTTCATCCATCTGGCCTTCATCCATGTGGCCTTCATCCGTTTAGTCTTCATTTGCGTGGCCTTCATCCTTGTAGCTTTAATCCTTGCGGCCTTCATTCGTGTGGATTTCATCTGTGTGGCTTTCATCCATGGAGCCTTCATCCGTGTGGCCTTCATCTGTGTTGCCTTCATTCTTGTGGCCTTTATCCTTGTGGCCTTCATCCACGGAGCCTTCATCCGTGTGGATTTCATCCGCGTGCCTTTTATCCTTCTGGCCTTTATCCATGTGGCCATCATCCGTGTGGCCTTCATTCTTGTGACATTTATCCATGTGGCCTTCAACCACGGAGCCTTCATCCGTGAGGCCTTCATCCTTGTGGCCTTCTTCCGTGAGGCCTTCATCTGTGTGACTTTCATCCATGTGGCTCACATCCGTGTGGCCTTCACTCATTTGGATTTCATCCATGTGGCCTTCATTCGTTCGGATTTCATCCGTGTGGCATTCATCCTTGTGGCGTTCATTCTTGTGGCCTTCATCCTTGTGACCTTCATCCTCGTGGCCTTCATCCTTTTTGGCCTTCATCTTTGAGGCCTTCATCCGAGTGACCTTCATCCTTGTGGCCTTCATCTTTGTGGCCTTCATTCTTTAGGCTTTCATCCTTGTGGCCTTCATACGTGAGGCTTTCATCCGTGTGGCTTTCATCCGAGTGTCCTTCATCCGTTTGAACTTCATCCGTTTGGCCTTAATCCGTGCGACCTTCATCCGTGTGGCCTTCATCCTTGTGGCCTTCATCCGTTTGGCCTTCATCCGTTTGGCCTTCATCCGTTTGGCCTTCATCCGTTTGGCATTCATCCATGCGACCTTGATCCGTGTGGCTTTCATCCGCGTGGCTTTCATCCGTGTGGCTTTCATCCGTGTGACTTTCATCCTTATAGCCTTCATCCGTGTGGCTTTCATCCTTGTAGCCTTCATCCATGTGGCCTTCATCCGTGTGGCCTTCATCCATGTGGATGTGGTGTTAACTACCATTAACGAACTTTCATCCGTTTTGTCTTCATCCGTGTGGCCTTCATATGAGTGGCCTTCATCCGTGAGGCCTGATCAACCAGGCTGTGACTCATACGTCAGGCTGCGAACAGCCGCGTCAAACACCCTGGTTGATTAGTCCAGCAACCAGGAGGCCTGGTCGACGACCGGGCCGCGGGGACGCTAAGCCCTGGAAGCATCTCAAGGTAAGGTAAGGTAGGCCTTCACCCGTGTGGCATTCATCCACGTGGCCTTCATCTGTGTTGCCTTCATCTGTGTGGCCTTCATCCGCGTGGTCTTCATCCGTGTGGCCTTCATCCATGTGGCTTTCATTCTTGTAGCTTTAATCCTTGTGGTCTTCATCCGTGTGGCCTTCATATGAGTGGTCATCATCCTTGTACCCTTCATCCGTGTGGTTTTCATTCTTGTGGCCTTCATCCGTGTGGCCTTCATTCTTGTGGCCTTCATCCGTGTGGCCTTCAATCATGAAGCCTTTATCCATGTGGCCTTCAACCAAGGAGCCTTTATCCATGTGGCCTTCATCCTTGTAACCTTCATCCATATAGCTTTCATCCGTGTCACCTTCATCCGTGTGGCTTTCATCTGTATGGCTTGCATTCGTGTGTCTGTCATCCGTGTGGCTTTCATCTGTATGGCTTGCATTCGTGTGTCTGTCATCCGTGTGGCCTTCATCTGTGTGGTTTTCATCAGTGTGGCTTTCATCCATGTGTCCTTCATCCTTGAGTCCTTCATCCTTGTGGTCTTTATGCGTGTGACCTTCATCCTTGTGGCTTTCATCCTCGTGGCGTTCATCCCTATGGCCTTCATCCTTGTGGACTTCATCCTTGTGGACTTCGTCCGAGTGGCTTTCATCCTTTTTGGCCTTCATCCTTGTGGCCTTCATCCTTGTCTCCTTCATCCTTCTAACCTTCATCCGGGTGGCCTTCATCCTTGTACCCTTCATCTGGGAGGCCTTCATCTTCTTGGCCTTCAATCTTGAGGCCTTCATCCTCGTGGACTTCATTCATGTGGCTTTCATCCTTGAGGCCTTAATTCGTTTGGCCTTTATCCGTTTGGCATTCATCCTTGTGGCCTTCATCCTTATGGCCTTCATCCTTATGGCCTTCATCCTTGTAGCCTTCATCATTGAGGCCTATATCCTTGAGGCCCTCATTTGTGTGGCTTTTATCCCTGTGGCATTCATCCTCGTGGTCTTCATCCTTGTCAGAAATCCGACATACATAACATAAGTTACCATTAAAGAAATCAGAGAACAGGTATTCTGTGACGTCATCCAACAATACGTTATATATTTAACTCTTATTTCTTTTAAACCTCACTCTAGTATATAAACTCAATAAAGTGTTTACTTGGACTGAATATAATTTCCAACACCTGGAATATAGCTTAACTCCCTATTCCTTTATCATAAATAGAACCAGCAAATATTTTAGGACGTCTCCGCTAAGGAGGCGTCGGCATGTACACAACACAGAATCATAACAAATGACACGCTGTAGAGGTGCCTCCTTACGAGCCGGTCAAAACTCGTTAAGACACCCAAATTACGTGTCAACAAGCGAGTAGCAACCACAACAGCCTCTCAGCAACCACAGCAATGCTTTAGTATCTGAGTGCTTTGTATTCTGGTGTTATTTGGTGCTCCATATAATATAGATTATGTAGGCGGTTATTAGCATGAGAAAAACACAAACACAGTGAGTAGCATTTTACTCAGCTCTTTACTACATACAAAAATATTCATGTCACTTGTACCCGATATGTTAATGTACAACCACTAATTCTAAACATCCCAAACAGGTAATTGTGAGGGAAGTTACTGTTGCAAGCTCAGCTGGCCCGCTGGCCCGCAGCTGGCTCATAACGGTGTATATCAAGCTACTAGCATGCCCAGGCAGCCATTTTATGCACACTGACCACATGTAGCCACACTCTTAGCAGATATTTGGAGAATGCCAGCCCTAGCAGGCTCCACCTACAGTATCAGATAAGACCTAGAATTCTTTAAAACTGTAATATAATAGTAGATTAGACCACAATATGTGGTATAATTTATAATTTAATTTATAACAATAAGGTAAACATTTGCTTAAAGTTATTCACTCACAGTGGTGTAAGCATTTGTCCCTCCCTACAAATAGACGGAGTATTTTTACAACCAAATCTTACACAAGGGTAGGACATTTTAGGCTGGTGTTGTACAGCAACCTAGTCTAACTTATGGTGCTAACCTGGTATAAGTTATTTTACTTGTCTAGAGTTGAACCTATATTACAACCTAGCAAGCATATATTTTATGCAGTTTCTTATGAAAACCCGAGTTGTGTTGTCTTCATAATATTACCATAAACATTTGTAATTTAACTATAATAATTTCGCCTTTGATTGCTATTCTGTGTCTCTGTACCAATGAAGAGTGATATTAAAGAGCTAACTTGAGGTAAACCCAGCATAGTTACAAGGTTACTACTCAATTTATAGTGTGTATGATTATATATTGTGTGCATTTGTAAATGATAAACAGCTTTAGTTCGGAGACTAATAGCTTTACTAGCTCAAACGCTAGTAATTATCCAAATCAGAGGCCAACAAGGCTTGGCACAAGGACATCTCCAACAGGGCTAGCTAATACAGCCATCATGTCTACTCCAAAAATTGTAAAAGCAACCCTTGCAGGTATGAAGGGCCATTTAGCGCGACAGATCAATAAATGTGATGATTTATGTAAACAAACTCCAGTTGATTATGTTGAACTGGAGGGCCATCATAAGGTTGCAGAGAGCTAATTAGAGCATGTAAGAAACCAAATCCTGAAATATCAGTGTGCTAGCTGATACTAACATAGATGAAGAAACAACGGAAGCTGCCATAAATGAAAATGCAGATTATGAAGATGCAATACAAACAAATTTACAACACTTTGACAAGTTAATAACCATACACAAGGCCACTACGAACATTGCAGCCACAGCTTCCCAAAACCCGATACAACCAGAAGTCAAATTACCATCACTCAGTCTAGCAACTTTCTCTGGTACAGAGGATGAAAGTTGGGATAACTTGTGGAACAAATTTGTCAATTCAGTGGATTCTAATGCCACTATAGCCAAGACCACAAAATTTACACATTTGCAGAGTGTCTTAAGGTATGAAGCATTAAAAGTGGTCTGCAATTTTACATTAACAGATAATGGTTATGATAGCGCAGTGCAGCTCCTTAAGGAAAATTATGCTAAGCCTGAAAGAACTATCAGACTTCTAACCCAAAAATTGTTAGATATACTTCATCCAGATGGATCAGCTGACTCACTCGAAGCCTTTAGATTGGCGATTGAGTCCTTGCTCAAGGCGCTTAACAATAAAGTGAATCTGGATGAATTAGACTGGATAATAGAAGTCCATATGAGATGCAAATTACCCAGTGACGTACTGGATAAGTTGTTTGTCATATACAACAAATCCTATCTGACAGTAAAGGAGATAACAGAAGGTTTGCGATCCATCATAGAAAGACAAAGAGATAACACAGATGGAAAATCAACATCTAACCACTAATAGTAAACAACAGAGAGCAAACAGTACTCCAAATAAATCTAAAACAACTTCCCCTTCCCCAAGGTAGAATCATCGTAGTTTGGGCACATATGCAGTGGGTCCCTCCATACCTACAGTTAATGTGTCACCCAAACCGGTGACTCCCGAAGTTGCTGTTAACATCTGGAGGCCATGTCTGTTCGGTGAATAACAACATACCATGTACAACTGCAGAGCTTACCCTGATCGTGCAATACGTATAAAACGACTCAAAGAGTTACGTCAATGCACCAGGTGTATAAGGTCACATAATCCCGACACGTGTACAACTCAAATACATACCTGTAATAGATATGATAAGGGTATACACCATACAGCATTCTGTGGGGAATCAAGTACAAAGTCTCCCAAACCACAAGTGGAGGAAGGAACTTCCACTTCAGTACAGCTCTGTACCATACTGCCAGACATAAGTGTCTGAACAACCAGGTCTGATCATAAATCAGGTCTACCCACTGCTCAATTGATCATTAAAAATGGAAAGTCCAAGGTCACCATACGTGGATTATTTGACCAAGGATCCCAAATGACTTTTATCTCAAAGGAGTTGGTAGATGCCTTGAAACTCAAGCCTGTACGAGAAACATGAATAGACATAGCAGCATTCCTCACTAACTCAGGAGCCCGAGTCTTCAAGGTAGTTCAACCTAAAGTACGTTTAGACGGTTATGTCTGAAAGATACAAGCTTTTGTAGTAGATAGATTCCCTTCAGATCTGTATGTGTATGGTTTAGGGACAACAGCCAAATTCCTGGAAGAAAAGGCAATCAAATTGGCTCAAAACATTACGTCAGACAACCTCTCCAATATTGGAATCCTTATGGGTTCAGATGTCTACCATAAGTTTATCAAAGGACAGGATGAAAAACAGGGAATGAACCTGTTACCGTCTGCAGGTGGCTACTTGCTAATAGGCCCAGTATTACGGCTGAAGCAACCCATACCTGTGGACCACCAACATGCCAACCCACTAATGGTTGCATGACTAGAACAGTCTCCACTACAATTCAGAGACATGTCCGAGGATTAGCTTGATCCCTCTGTACATAAATTATGGGACCTGGCAACTCTCGGCATTGTCCCTGAACAACCTAGTCCAGATGGTGACTGGACTTACAAACAATACCTAGACTCAGTTATGTACAGAGATAATCATTACTGGGTCAGGTTACTATGGAAGCTGAATCACCCTCAGCTACCCATCAACCATTTTATGGCACAAAACCAATTAGGATCACAGGTTTTGCGCTTACAAAGACATCCTGAGAACTTGAAATTGTACCATGAATTAATACAGAAACAACTCGATGACAGATTTATCGAAGTTGTCACAAATGATAACCCCAAAGTAAGGACACTACCTGCCTCACCACCTTGTACTGAAAATTGCAGCTACTACCCCACTACAGATAGTATTTAATTGCAGTGCTAAGACCAGGCAGAATTGTGTTTCCTTAAATGACTGCCTTCAAACTGGCCCTAGCCTGACTCAAAGGCTATACGACGTGCTGTTAAAGTTCCGCATTAGGACTTACACATTTATGGCCGATATCAGCAAGGCCTTCCTTATGGTAGGTCTCCAAGAAGAAGACCGTAACTACACCAAGTACTTATGGATTAAGATCCTAACAATCCAAACAGTGAATTAATTAATCACTGTTTGTGTCTGTTTTGTTTGGTGACACTTCTCCGTTTCTGCTTCAAGCTACCTTAGACACGCACTTGAAGAAGTCCAATAGCCCAAATAAAACAGAAATTAGCAATAGCTTGTATGTGGACAATTTCAGAGGAACAGCCAGCAGTGAAAGTAAACTGCTGAACATATATGACGAGGCCAATCGAGAATTAATGGGAGCAAATGCGCCTCTCCAGTCGTGGGTCTCCAACAATGACAAATTAAATCAACTGATCGAAAAAGAGTTTCCCAACTACCAGGTACCCAAGAAGACAAAGGTACTAGGCATCGAATGGAATACAACAGCAGATCAGTTCACAATCAAGTCGGTGGAGCCGGATACCACCAACCTAACAATGAGAAAATTACTCTCCCTAGTCACCAAACCCTTCGACTTATTGGGACTATTAAGTCCAATCTTAATAAATGGGAAGTTGATAATGCAGGAATGTTGGCTACAAAAGATAGGCTGGAATGATCTTATAACACCTATCTTACAAATAAAATGGCAAGGGCTGGTGAAAGATTTAAGTATCCTACTGTTTGTCAAGTTCCCTCGGAACACAGTAAATGAAAAAGAACCAATTAAGCTTCATGTATTCTGTGATGCCTCAGGAAAGGCTTATGGCACAGTAGCTTACCTGGTCTCAAATGGTCAAGCCAATTTGCTCACATCAAAGGCCAGAGTGGCACCGTTAAAGAAACGATCATTGCCACAA